TTAGTGGCAATAAAAGAAGAATGAAAAGGTGCAGGAGGAGGAGGAGTTTGGAAATGCAGAAGAAAGGCAAGAGGCAGAAGGGACTGAAGGAGAGGTCATAGCAGGAGGAAGGACTGGAGGATGGTTGGCCGGTAAACAATAGGTCTCCTTGCACATTTTCGTGTAGATATTTTGCCTCAACCAGCATATATGTCCTTGAGTTGTGGAGTGCAGGCCTGAAGATTAGTGGTAGATGCTGATGGATAAAAGTAGGACTGGTGAGCCGAAACCGGTTTGGCTCAGTGGATAGAGCATTGGCCTGTGGACTGAAAGGTCCCAGGTTCGATTCCTGTCAAGGGTATGTACTTTGGTTGTGGGCACATCCCTGGTGGAGGGTGTACAGGAGGCAGCTGATCAATGTTTCTCTTCATTGATGTTTCTAGCTCTCTATCCCTCTCCCTTCCTCTCTGCAAAACATCAATAATATATATATATATATATATATATATATATATATATATATACACACACACACACACACACAAATATATATATATATATATTTTTAAAATATATTTTATTGATTTTGTACAGAGAGGAAAGGAGAGAGATAGAGAGTTAGAAACATCGATGAGAGATAGTCATCGATCAGCTGCCTCTTGCACACCCCCTACTGGGGATATGCCCGCAACCAAGGTACATGCCCTTGACCGGAATTGAACCCGGGACCTTTCAGTCCCCAAGCCGACGCTCTATCCATTGAGCCAAACCGGTCTTGGCTTTTTTTTTTTTTTTTTTTTTTTTTTTAGTATAATAGGATGGTACTAAAGATCACTTTTCCTCCAAGGCAGGGAGTTTTTATGCGGACTTTCTGCTCATTGGGTGGTAAACGTTTTATACCTTTGACCAGGTTTAGAAGAGGAAGAGTTATATAGGGCGCTGAGCCTCACAACATGGCTGGTGGAGGAGCGGTGTGGAGTTGAAAATAAGAAATATATACCTTGGTGGACATGTATTTTATTTCTAAGTACGGAGCCAGATACTACTAAGGCTATGAAAAACTGGCCCGAGGCCATGAGGACAAAAGGAAGACTCGTTGGTCTCGTGCCCTGGGAGTGGACAGCGGGAGGCAGCAGCACAGGACTCCAGCCTGCTGTGTATGTGAGGGAGGCCAACCTGCCAGCCCCAGCAGAGGGCCCAGCTCTCTGGCCCCGGAGCCTCCCGGGACTGGGGACTGGGGACTGGGGACTGTGGTTACTCCAGGCTGTGTGGCCCAGAGAGCCACAGGAAAGGAACGGGCTGGATGAGGCAGACAAGAGTGGGTGGGAAATATAAACCTTGGTGAATATATACCTCAAGGCCCTAATGCCCCAAGGAAGTCAACCAAAGGAAGGAGATAAGACCTTGCCTTCACCCTGAGGGCAGGTCAGTGACTCGGGGAATGATGATCATTCAGCTCTCAACGCAGTCTCACCTGTGCAACTGTGGGCCCACGTTACGGGTAATCGCGCTGGCATGCTGGCATGGCACCCACCTGCAGACGGTGTGGCGGGCGGTTTGGCCCTGCGTCAGTGGTTGTGAGAATCAGAAACACTGAGATGTATAAACCACGGGGCCAAAGCTCGAGAGAGAGAGAGGGGCCCAGGGACCGGCATCACGGCATCACCTGGGAGCCTGTTAAAACGTCCCACCCGAGACCTCAATCAGAATCCTCACTGACAAGATCCTGATGTCATTCACACACACACTGAACTGAGAAAAGCTGCTTTACCCATCACTGGCTGGGAGAGGTCAGGGAGAGGCATTCGGTGGCGAGGGTTCTGGATTTTGAGAGGAGTGGGTCCTGGGAGAGTTGAAAGCACTCACCTGCGTGGCAGCCCCATCCGAGCTATTTCTGGATTCGCAGGGGTGACTGCCACTTCACCTCCACCTCTTCCAGGGGTTCTGCTGCCAGGGCAGGAGATCTCATATGATCTCATCCTATAGGTAGGCGTGTGTGTGTGTGTGTGTGTGTGTGTGTGTGTGTGTGTGTGTGTTTGTGTGTTAATTTATGTGGGTGACTTTGGTCAGGTGTACAATTCTGTGACACATCATTTGTTTTTTGCATTGTGTGCTCACCACCCAAAGTCTAGTCGCCCTCCTTCACAATATATTAGACCCCCATTACCCTCTTCACCCAACCCCACCCCACTTTCACCCTCCTGTTGTCTGTGTCTTTGAGGTTACTTGCGTTTAGATGTCACAATTTCTGTGTCTCTGACATCTCTGACTGGACCCTCAAACTTTTCTAGGATCCATTAGACAACGTATTGGTCCTTTCTAAGAACCTACTCTTTAAAAACTGAATCCCATTAATGCTAGAGTCTGTTATAGCCTAAAGCAGTCTTAGAATCTTACATGTAGAATCCGAAAGGGTGACCTGATAGAAAAATATTTTTGTTTTTATTTTAGTCTTTGGAGGGAAGATCTGTATTTTGGGAGAGATGAGAGGCGAGTCCTCAGAGATTGGGTGACCAAAGGCAGAGGTCATACTCGGATTGCGCAGGTCCTGTTGTCTGGGGTGCAGGGTTATGTCTCTTAGGCACGTGAATAGGGAGTTAGTTGTTCTCATCACTGCGGGAGGACTTCATTCGGCTGTTAAGTGTGGGGAACAGGATAGGTGAACTCCCTGCTAAAATATTCCTTGATCAACCCTTCTCTTATCTGAAAAAGAAAATGAAGCGCCTTGGCCGGTATGCTCAGGGGTTAGCCTGTCGTCCCCCACACTGAAGGGTTGCGGGTTTGATTCCCAGTCAGGGCATATGCCCAAGTTGAGGGTTTAATCCCCGGTTGGGGCTTGTGTGTGAGGCAATGGATGGATGTTTCTGTCCTCTCTCTCTTCCTTTCTGTCTGGAATCAATGAAAAACTTATCCTTGGGTGCAGATGAAAAAACACACACCCATCTCTCATTAAAAAAAAAAAAAAGAAGAAGAAGAAGCAATAGTTCATGAAGAAATTCTTTATCTCTTGCCAAGAGCCATAGGCCAGCTGAGCATCATGTACAAAGAGATTCAACCAAATAGAATGTGTTAAAGGGGTCCAAGAGCAGTTTCCAGGAAGTTTCCTTAGAATATTTCTTTTGCTAATAAGTAACCCATTTGCCGGACGGTAGGGCCTTTGGTTAATCATTATATAGTTCTTAGTAATCATCCCTTCTGCTGGGCACATGGCTCCTACAAGGTCGTGCTCTTTGCTCATTAGCTTGGGGCCCAGTGTAAGTCTCCTCTTCCTCAGATCAGTCCCAGGAGAATTGACTCCGCAGGGTACTGGTCACTCCAGCGCAGCACATGGCTTATCCTAAAATTGCCTCCATCCTACCTCCAACTGGGGTTCGGTGGCCTGTCACATGCACATGTCAAAGTTGCCACTTACTGTGCAGTGACCCTAAAATCATGTGTGAACTCTGAACGAAGCTCAAATCTTACTTCTTCCACATAAATACTGCTTATCTTAAAAGATGAAAGAAACATCATACCACAGCCGTCTCCTATATCTTACTCTCTGGCAGAGCATATCACATCATGTTCTCTTCCATATTCGAAACTACTGGAGCGGTTAATAAAACATGCTTGCTCTCAGTTTCTTGTGTCCCTCAGCCAGAATGGATAATTAGGGATTTACCCTCTTGATCACCCTCCTGTTCAAGGATCTTCCCTAACTCGGTCTCTATATGAAGGCACTTCCTCAAGGCCATATCTTTATTTAAATTCTCCTTTATTTATTAACCTCCATCCTAAGGGCTGGGGTTTCTATTCTTTCTCCCAGTGTTTGTTTTACTTCTGCTAAGCTCTGTTCCTCTGGTATGTTCTGGCCAGCTCTGGCAGCCCACCTACTCTGCAGTTGACCATTTTGTATCCCCGGTGGATACGGGGGAAACAAAGTGCTGTAAAACCCGAGCGAGCTAAGGACAGTCTTTCTGTCTGAGGCAAGGGAAGGCACCCAAAGAGGTGACATCCGAGCTGGGCCCGACGGCACAGGTTCAGCAGGTGTGAGAGGGTTTGGAAAGGAGGCAGCCCATGCAGAGAGAACTGCAGGTTGTGCCAAGGACCTGTCAATAGCACTCGCTAGAAAAATAATTGCCTTAATTACTCAGACAGAGAATCAATTACAGTTATGTATTATGCTGGGGATGTATTTCCCTACACCAGGACGTGAGTGGTTTCATTGGGAGGGATTGGAGATGTTTTCTTTTTAATAAATAGGCTCTCGTTTCCATGATGATGTCTGTTTTAACCAAATGATAAGGAAATAATCTATGTAATCTGCCACATCCTTTTAACTGCTCTTTTTCTTGAGGAGGATTTGATAATGAGCCAGAAGTACTAAAACAAAAACATGAGTTCATCATCCAAAAAAGTATTTTCATTGTGCTTGGTTGTCAAAGTTTCCCCCATTGGTTAAAAGAGATGCTTATTCTTTCAAGAGGAACCAGGTGCAAAGAAAGTGAACTATCTCTATGGTCCGATCTACAGACTCATAAATAGCCATAGGAAAATTGGATGAAAAGAATGCTAGTTATTATTTGGCTTGTGTCTTTGTATTATAGGTGAGGGATCTAGGGATGGGAGAAATCAGGCCAGTTGCCCAAAGTCACAAGGTCACTGACCTTAGTAGGGTCATAGCAAGCCTTCCCCCAGCCTCCCACTCCCCCCATTCCTTACTCAGAGGGAACAAGGCAATATCTTTCTCTCATAAGGTTGTTTTAGAGTCATCCCAACTGAAATGACCTCAGCTTACTATTTAGGCTTTGAATTACGTAAAGGATTTGAACTGTTCGTTACTCAGATTCTAATGGGCAGTTAGTTCTTTATTTGGTGGAACATTTTGAAGGATTTTAGAGGAGGTATGACTAATAGGTTCCACAATCCAGATACCATCTGCAAATAGTGTTAACCGTATAAACAAGCCTCTGCCCTTCTAAAACATAAGGTCAGAGTATGTTCTTTTACAGTTTTGACACGACTTCTTTGCTTTGCTTCAGGGTACTTTTGTCTTCGGTGACACTGCTGTCTATATATTCAATAAACCTTCTGTTGATCTGTTCGAAGGAAACAGGTAAGCTACCATTAGGTCTACTTTTGTTAAAGCCAGGAACAATGATTTTGACGGTGATGGAATTGTAAACAAATGATGCTCTCAGAAACTTGATTATTAAAGTAAAAGAGTACTTTGACCAACAATCCCTGGAAGACCTATAGTAGTATTTACCCGGAAAAATAGATACAGCAACTATAAATTAAATTGTCGTGAAGAACGCACAATGGTGTCGTCATTTAAAGTAAACCCTCAATTATACCTCTTTCTTTTTTTTTTTTCTTCTTCTTCTAGTTTAAGATGACTTCATTCTAAAGGCTTTGGTTTTTCCCCCAGGTCTTTATAAATGCAGAACAAGGATCCCATGTTTTTTATATTATAGCCTCCAAGTTCTAAAAGTAAACAGAGCTTTCATTCTCTTCCATGCCTATTTCAAGGAGAAAAACGTTGCTCCGGAGGGACGATGGGAGTGAATGTGCTAGGGAAAGGTTTCAAGTATTCTGGGCAGTGTAATACCTGAAGTGTTTATTTTCTATTCCTGGGATCCTGGGTTGTGTTTGTAATACTTTGACTTTTGCATTCACTAAAACTACCTTGGCCGACTGTTATTGTAAATAGACAACTCCATTTAACTGGAACATTCTGTAATAAATTGAGGGTCTAACCATTATCTGGTTTAAACACCAGTCTTATGAGAGATTAAACAAAAGATTAATTTAGCCTGACCCATATTACTTTCTGCGAACCTTTTAAAAATGTGAGCTGAGTTGTCATAAAGAAATAGAAACATTCAAAAAAAAAAAAAAAATGAGTGGCTTTGAATCTTTAGTATTTATTGAGAAAGGCTAGTTGAATACTTTAGAACTTTGCTCTAGCCAAATTATTGTTTAGGTAGACTTCTCGACTGCTCTCCTAGGTGAGTTGCTTATTTTTGAACTAAATTTTACAAACAATCAGAATTTTGATGGCATGACTAGTACATGTTTCTGAACTTGTTATTCTATTTAGAATACAGGAGACATTGATGGGAAATGATTAAGATAGTTCTTTGTTAGCCTACACATTCAGGTTATTAATTCAAAAAGAGCCTTTTATCCCAACTCCCAGGATTTTTATTTTTTAATCAAATCTTTATTTTAATGATACTCACCAGACCTGACAACACCTCAGAGTGGGGATTTCCCCCCAGTCAAGTGTAAGGACTATTTAAGGTAGTCAACAATATGCCTTATGACCTAATGGTTGAATTATAATGCTTTGGTAGCCAACCTGAAAAAAGGAGAATTTGTGGTCATGTCTGACATTTAAAAATGTCTAGAGGTTGTTTTTTTAGTTTTTTGAATTTAAATTCTTAATTGCTTAAAGTATTACATAAGTGTCCCTTTTCCACCATTGACCTCTCCCCAGCCACTCCCACCCTCCAAGCGAAATAAGCCAGTCAGGGAAAGATAAATATCACATGATCTCACTCATTTGTGGAATATAATGAACAACATAAACTGATGAAAAAAATAGAACCAGAATCATAGAAGTATCAAATAGACTGTCCCACCTATGAGGGAAGGCGGGGGGGGGGGGGGGGGGGAGGGAGGTGGTGAAGGGGTAAGAGATCAACCACAGGACTTGTGTGCATGCAAATGAGCATCACCAATGGCCAAAGTTGTTTTATAATGAGAATGCCTTAGTCCTTGCAAAGTCAAGAAGGCCATCTGTGTGGTTTTGAGAAAGACATGAAATAACTTGGGGAATAGTCAGTAGCATGATGAATCTTGGCTAGATTTTACTTTTAGAGTCCTGACATTTCTTGTGTTCTCAAATGTGACGTCTAAATAGGTTGCATGGTCTATGAGAAGCTGGGAGAGCAGGTCTTCGGCACCACGGGGAAGTTTGTCATCTTTGGAGCCACCTCTCTACAGAACACAGGAGGTAAAAACAAACACAAACGTGCTTTTATGCTTAACACTAAGTAGGTGGCCCTGCTGGTGTGGCTCAGTGGTGGAGTGTCGACCTGAGTCAGACGGTCACGGTTTAATTTCTAGTCAGGGCACCTGTCCAAGTTGTGGGCTCAATCCCCAGTGTGGTACATGCAGGAGGCAGTGACTCTCTCTCATCATTGATATTTCTCTCTCTCCCCCACCTTTCCTCTCTCTGAAATCAATAAAAATATATTAAATAAAAAACATTATGATGTTTTCTAATTCTGGTGGTTGGGTGGTCACATGAATTTTAACATAATTCAAGGAGTTATCATTCCCATTGCTAAAATGGAACATGGAAAGTCAAGTGGAGACAGCAGGCACTTATTTAAAACCAAGGAAACTGTGAGAGTATCTAACGCTGTCTGTGTCTTACTGAAGGTTAGTCTAAGAACAGGCTGGTAACCTTTTATAGGGCTTGCAACATGAACCTCGGTATCTTCTTTCTAAAATGTTCTCATTTTCCTCTAGCAATGCTGAGCTACCTCTTCATAGTCAAAAATGAGCTACCGTCTGCCATAAAATTCCTAATGGGAAAGGAAGAGACATTTTCGTAAGTCATAGACCCTTTTGTTGTAAGATAATTAAAATGTTTTTAATCGAAATGTGAGCTAACCAAAGTTTCTGTTTTATGAAAATTGCTGAAGCAGAGTTTTCCCCAGGCTGTTTTTTTTTTCTTTCTGTTTGTTGTTTCAACACTTTTCTCTGGAGTTATCTAAATAAAAGAAGCAGAGAGAGTCCCTTGAATATGAGGATTTCCAAGGCAGATTCATCAGTCACGCTGCAAAACGGTAGATGCTGCATTTTCTCAAGAGCCTAAAATCTATGTCTAGTTTCTGTGAAATGGAACAGAAACAGAGTATTTTTTAACCCAGATGTAGAACATGCAAAAAACAAACAAACAAAAAAACAACAACACACACACACCAAAAAACCAAGACCGTTTTTTAAAGAAGGGATATAGCATTTTGGAAGCAAAACTTACATGAGCCACCTTCATTAAAGATGCAGTTAATCCTGGAAAACTTTGCATCTATATTTGGTACAGCCATTATGTTTGGACTCCCTCTTGTTTAATAGTCTTTGTGGATCTTCGTTTTTCTGTTTTCTTTCAAAAGGGAATCATCGAAGCCATAGTCCCTCGTGTTCTATAATCAGGATTTTAGGTCAAATACAAGAGATAAGGGAGAGAGCCTGTGGTGACTTGTTTTTCGAGGATATTAGGGAAGCAAAACAAAAAGGAACTTTCTCTTTAAATAATTGATGATACAAGCTGTAATCTGACAGAAAGCAATGTATGCATTCCGCTTTGAAGCCACATAAATAATTCAGAGGAATGCCACATTAGCCAATTCAGGAGGAAAAGAAAACAATATCCCTTCTTCCATCACATGGGGAAAGACAGCAGTAAAGGACTAGTGGTTGTGTTGAAGTGTTTGGGTAAACCTGAATAATTGTAATTTAATAACAATAAAAATTTAGTAAAAACATATTGTGAAATTTTACTCTTAAGGGGAAAAACGTCATTTTTCTAAGGAAATATGACCTCCCCGCTGAAATGTCTTTCAGAGCCTGGTACGTGGATGGCCGTGTCCTGGTGGTGATTGTCACCTTCAGCATAATTCTCCCTCTGTGTCTCCTGAAGAACTTAGGTAAGGAAAGATCTTGCTTTTGTGGTAGTCTCTCCAGTGCCCAGATAAATCAGAAGCCTAGTAAAATGAGCAACTTTGCCCTCAACTTCTACTTGTACAGTAAAGATTAAGTAAATGATAAATTATAAGTATTAATCAGTTTCAACTTTAATATGGGATAAAACCACTGGCCAGTGTGGCTCGTTGGTTGGGCGTCATCCTGTGCACCAAAAGGTTGCCAGTTCGAGTCCTGATCAGGGAGTGTGCCTGGGCTGTGGGCTCAATCCCTGATAGAAAGTGTGCAGGAGACAGCCGATTGATTTTTCACTCTGATATCTCTCTCTCTCCCCACCCCTACCCCTTCTCCTTTTCTCTCTCTCTAAAACCAATAAAAAGGCTTTTAAAAACAAAACAAAACACCGATCAGTATGTGACTTCCTAAGCAATCATTCTAGGGAGTGATGGGGGCTGGCAGCAGACAGTGCATCTTCCCAGTAGCTCACACTTACAGGCTATCCTGAGAAAAGTCTAAAAAATGGAATTCTCCTGATTATTTAGAAAATTCAATTTAAAAAAAATCTAATATCACGACCGAAAGTTGCTTCTGTTTATTCCCAAGAGTATAGCGAATTACTCTTAAATGCTCAAAGTCTAACCAATCTCAGTTATTTGCCTCATTAAAGAGAGAGAGAAAAGTGAACAGTCAAAAGTGGAAAACAACCACTAGGTCATATCCATTTGGTGTTTCCAGGTGTGCTTACAATCAGAGACGAGTGTGTCTGATCTTATGGGAGTGTTACCCATCGATCCATGTGGCCACACTGCTGTCCAGCCCACACCTTCTAAAACCCATGTCCTTGCATTCTGGGCTATTTCCAGGCGGACATTTAAAGTTCTTCCCAAAATGATTGCAAACCATGGTTTTTAAATTTTGTTTTGTATGAAAATACCCAGTCTCTGTAGCTGTTCTGTATGATCTATTTAAAGACACACACACACACACACACACACACACACACACACACAAAGCACCATACCCAAACTACTTAATGTTCTGGTTTCTGGGTCTGGGTGTAGGCTTTTGTATGTTTATACCCATACGTCTTTTCAGTTTAAGTAGAGAAGGACTTTTCTCCTCTCAGGGATAAGAATAGTGCATAGGCCACTTAACTCTGCCTCTCTGGAGGTCACGATGGTTAGAGATCTGCCAGACAATCTAAGGGGAGCTGGAGATCCCCAGATGCTCCCCAGAAAAGGTTATCCCTAGAAATCACTCCCTCTCTGTGCATGCCTCTCATTTGGGAAGAGAAGTATTGTGGCTGATAGCATTATGTATACAATAGGTGCATAATGAAGAGGAATGAATTTGGCTACAGATATCCAACAGAGGACAGCAGCAGAATTCCATGACTAAATTTGGAAGGCTCTTTTCCCCTGAATTCTGGGAAGCTGTTCTCCAGTGTGTCAGGGAGAACTGGAATCAAAACTCATAATAATGTTTTGTGTTTTTTTTTACCTAAAGTCACATTTTTGCCAAATAAAGTAGCACTGTCAATGAATAAATCTTATATGCACATTGGCATGTATATATACTATTTGAACTACAAACTGAGCTTGAGAAAATGCATTACCTTGGCTGGGGTGGCTCAGTTGGTTGAGTATCATCCCGTGCCCAGAAAGATTGCCGGTTCCCAGGTTGCAGGTTTAGTTCCCAGGATGCAACCAATTGATGTTTCTCTTGCACATTGATATCTCTCTCTCTCTCTCTCTCTCTCTCTCTCTCTTTCTCTTTCTCTCTCTCTCTCTCCCCCTCCCTCCTTCCCCCCCCTCCACCCTCTCTAAAATCAATAAAAACATTTTTTTTTAAAAAAATCATTGAAAGAAATAAAGTGATTGATGAAATAATAATAATTTTAATTTTTTAAAACTTTTTTTTAGGGTACCTGGGCTACACTAGTGGGTTCTCCTTGAGCTGTATGGTTTTTTTCCTAATAGTGGTAAGTGTTGGTTGGAATGGTTGGTTTGGTTTTGCCATAGTACAATGCAGTGTAATAATTATTCCTTAGTTGGTTCTATTTGATATAAAGTCTATATTGTTTCTCCTATGTTTTTTAATATCAGGTCATCTACAAGAAATTTCAGATTCCCTGCATTGTCCCAGGGCTAAATGCAACAAGTGCTAATTCAACAAATGCTGACATGTGTACGCCAAAATATGTTACCTTCAATTCAAAGGTAAATTTTCGTATCCTTTAAATATAAAAAGGAGCATTTTTGTTAAGGGCATTATGTTTCTTTTCTTTTAATATATTCCATTGATTTTTCACAGAAGGGAGAGAGATAGAGAGCTAGAAACATCGATGAGAGAGAAACATCGACCAACTGCCTCCTGCACACCCCCTACTGGGGATATGCCCGCAACCCAGGTACATGCCCTTGACTGGAATCGAACCTGGGACCCTTCAGTCCGCAGACCAACGCTCTACCACTGAACCAAACCGGTTTTGGCAAGGGCATTATATTTCTTATTCTTGTAGTATGTAAGCTGTTTTGAATGTATTCAATCTCAAAAGGACAGAGTCCCCTGCTTCCAAATTCCACAATCCATTTAGAAACCTTTGAGAAATATGCAAATATTATAGTTCTCTTTCCCCCTTTCCTCCCTCCCTCCCTTTCTCTCCCTTCCTCTCTGAAATAAATAAATAAATTATATATATATATATATATATATATATATATATATATATATATATATTTTTTTTTTTTTTTTTTAAAGTTATTACTTTAAAAAAAAAAAGAGTTATGTTTGGAAGTTTTAAAAAATCATATCTAAGAAAACATCTGTCTATTGCTCTCTGCCTCTCTTTTAACTCTTAAGAATGAAGCCAAAGTAGTGAATGTGGAACTAATTTTGTTTTCGAAGCCACCTTTTAAGTCTGATTAGATGCAGCCTCTATATACAGTAAAGAGCAGTCAAATAGGAGTAGAAGTCCTGGGCATGTCGCCTGACCTGCTGGAGGGAGTCTGGAGGACAGCAGCAGCCTGCCTGCTGCTCAGGGGTGTTATGGAACTCCGAGAGACAGTGCAGGGGAAGTACACTGTAACTGGTTAGCGCCATATAAAAATGGGTTATGCTGTGTCTGGAGGGTGTAAAATACGCTGTAGGTTAGCTGTGTCTCAAACGCCTCTGAGCCAAGAGGTTGATGTCTCAAGCTAGATAAACTCTCTTTGGAAAGCTGTTCCTATTTTAGATATCAAAGCCCTCTTAATACCCAAATAATCCAGGATTCAGAAGAGCTGTCAGACAAAACTACAGCTTAGAAATACTGGAACTGAATAATTTTATGACAAAAATACCTTTTTTTTTTTTTAAATGTTTATCTTTTTTCTTTCAAATAGACTGTGTATGCTCTACCTACTATTGCATTTGCATTTGTCTGCCATCCGTCAGTCCTGCCAATCTACAGCGAGCTTAAAGAGTAAGAGTATTTTTTTTTTTTTAATTTACCTTGGTCATTTTATAGCTCCTCATGAATAGGCAAGCCCTGTAGTAAAATAAACAGACTCATGTAAAGAACCCTACGGACTCATCACCCAGTTTTAACATTCACTTTCTGCCATTCTTGAGCAAGTTCTGCATTTTAAGAAAGAAAAAATAAAAGAGGAATAGAAACCAGAAACTTGCAATATATTTGGATGTAAATATATAAAGTGGTACACTATGTAGGCTTTTTGTTGTTGTTGTTAAACTGGTTTTTCAAATACTGTATTCTTAGGAGAGTTCAAGTATGTGGATTGCTTTATGTTACTAATATTTCCTTGGCAGGTAGAATATAATGATCTTCAGATTCAATATCTGTATACTGCCAAACACCTGATTATTAATTTCTCTAAAATGAAAGAGATAAACACAGAGACAGTAGGGAAAGCTGGGACCAGGTGGGACAGCTGTCCTCTGATGGAGAGATAGTGATCCAGAGCTGGTGCAGCATGTTTATTATATACAGCAGGATTCCAGGAAGTTTTACTAAAGTATAAAACAAAGGAAATTATGAGAAATCATGGTTAAAGATCCAGCTATAATTTTTCATTCTTGTGGCTTCTTCGTAATTGTCACTCCTGGCTAAGCCCAGATAATTGTGCCTGTTCTTTGTGCCTGGCTGCACTTAGATAATGAAACCCACCCCCTGGCACCTGAGCTAAGGGTCAGGCTGACAACGTACCTGCCTCTGGCATGGTGCATCTCCAGGACGCGGCTCTGCCAACACCACTGCATTTAGCTGACAATAATTAAAAAAATGCTCATGTGCCTTCCCAGGCACTCTCTACACGTGATATCTGATTTGCCTGTTGGTTTATACAGAAAAGACTGGTAAATCTTTTCCATATAAAGGCAAAGAGAAATTAATGCTAAGACCACAAACTAAACAAAATAATTTTGTTGGTCATTTTAAATGATTATGGTCATTTTAAATGATTCTATGGTAAATGATAAATGATTCTATGGATTCATTTTTTATTGCTCTTCTGGAGAAAGCAAAAGGCCTACTTATACATTGCCTCATTGGTTCTCTTTATAGCTGTTACCAGACTTCATATGAAAAGTCATTATGGCATAGTCTTAAGCTCAGAAAAGATATACAATATAGCTATTTTGTATACTCAAAATATACCATTTTGAAACAAAAATAAAGTGGATGTCACTTAGCGTTGGATTCACTCATGATTCTTCCTCTTTCCTATTTAATCGAATAAGTAAATTTTGAAATATTTACATGTACCGATATCAATGATAACTTCATGATCCTGTATTTAGGGTATTTGATTATGTCTTTGGCATCTTTTAAATTTTATAGCCCAGCTTTTAGTTTGTAATTTTCTCGTGTGTACATCTCAGTGTTTCTTGTCTTCCATACTCCCTGTTGTGACGCAACCAAATCTGACTATTGGTAGTCTGTTATTGAGAGCAAGTCTTGTAGACTAATTATCCAGGCAGTTAAAGCCACTTAAAGGTGCGTGCAAACCCTCAGAGTAAACTTGACCTCAGAGACAGCCCTTCGTCATCACCTTCTGTGATCGTTTGGGTGCTTCCTGCTGTGGAGACATTCAGACTTCTAGTGCACCTCTGGGGCCACTCAGTGGGTACACTGGAACCCAAGTAACAGCATTAGCAAAAGCACCCCTGAGGTCAGGTTCCGGCTCTGCCCTTCTTTCCTGTGAACGCTCACTGTGGAGAAAATACCAGACACAGGTATTTTAAAAAATGCCCTCTGCCCTTCAGATGAGAACTCGTTCTTTCCAAAGAATGGGTCAGAGCACTCAAGGAATTGCTAGTACCCTGGGTCACTTTCACTCAACACCCATTGGGTGTAAATTCTAAACCGGCATACTTGCCTGGGGTGATTTCAGCTGGTCAGATCTGCCCTACCCTGATAGACAGTGAAGTTCCTATAAACACTTTCGTGTTAGCACTGGTCTTTAAACTCAGTAACATGGTTTTAAATTTTTCAAATGCTTTTATCTTTGTTTTTAGTCGATCCCAGAAAAGGATGCAGATGGTTTCGAATATCTCCTTTTTTGCCATGTTTGTGATGTACTTCTTGACCGCCATTTTTGGCTACTTGACATTCTATGGTAAGTAACTTCTGTCAGTACATAAATGTAGGTTATTAAGTGAATCATAAAAATCATGATCAAAACAACTTTTAGCATGACAGTTAAAAAAAGCAACGCATCTTTCGATTGATTGTGCTGTCTCTTCTTCTACGTAAACCAAATGACACTGGCTGCTTTCTGTATTCACGTAGACTGTACAATGGAATAATTACCGAAACAATATACTATAATGTTTTTCCCCTCATACTGGCCTTAAAAGGAAGAACATTTTATAAGCACACCACCTGCACTGAGGAAAGTGAAAACTATATCAGAGAATTTCCTAATTGCTGTTGCGAATGGGGTCAGGTTCCATTAATAGAGAGACAGAGACAGATGCTGAACGGGAGAAAGAGCCGAGTGCCACACTCACGAAACTTCACATGAATTAAAAATAAACTGCCTGATTTGTCACCGGAGGTGGGAGCCTTGCAAGGAGGTGAAGGGATGGCATAGAAAACTAAAGGGACTGACATCCGAGGTGCAGTGAGAAGCCCTGGAAAGGAGACTGTAGCTAGCACTCTCACTCTCAGCGGCTGCCATGCTAGCTTTGGTTGTCTTTGAAATAACATTTCCTGAGGTATAGACTTGAGAAAAATCCAAAGTGGTACATAAGCAAAATTCTCTTTCTCTCTCTCTCTTTTTTTTTTTTTTTAAATAAGAAAAAAATTCACCAAAGAGAAGAATTATTTCTTTTGTTTGCTTGTTTTTCTTTTTTTAGTTGTTGTTTTGTTTTTTGAGGAAACCAAGCAAGCATTTATTGACTGCAGCAAAAATATTCTTAGGAGAGTGAAGCAAGGGCATAGAAGAAGCGACAGGAGAACCTGGGGCGGGGGGGTGCGAGGAAGGCTACCGAGCTCACTGGGAAGTCAGAGAAAAGGGGCCCTGGAGACAGGTTCAGGGGATTGACCCGGGACAAGCTGCCGCTGCCCATTGCTAGCCTGGTTGCAAGTCTTGTGGGGTCCCTTAGAGGTTAGGGGGATACATGCTGGGGGGAGGGGTAAGAAGAGAGGGGAAAGAGAATGGCTTGCTTGGGTGTGCCTCCTGGAGGAAAGAGGGCCGAGAAGAATTTTTTTATTTTCTCTTTTTTAAAGATTTATTTCTTGATGGTGATTAAGTCCCATTGGCACCCCTGCTGCTTGGCCCCTGAAAGTTGAGCAGTAAGAGGAAAGTTTGAAAGAGGCTCCGAGTGGCCTGCAGTCCACCCAATCCACTCAGGATGAGCGGCACCACGTGGGAGAAAATCTAAATTAAGAATAGCTTTGTGCTTCAACCTGTGCTATTTTTAATCCCGGAGTACTCCTAGGATTAATTTAGTATAAACTGAATGTAGCCACTCTGTGTAGCGTCTTCTCACGATGAGTATAAATTCCTTTGGTGAACGTTGCGATGGGTGGTGGGGCACGCCTCAATCGGGCATTTCTCTTTCCCCCGCCCTACGCTGCTTTCCCCGGCCACCCAGACCCTCCTTGCCTTGCCCTCCAGCCGGCACATCCGCTGTCGTTGTTGGGAAAGCTTTCGTTCGGGTGTGCTTGGCTTCCTCTCCACACCCTCTCTCCCTCACTTTAGAGAACGTCCGCTCGGACCTCCTTCACAAGTACCAGAGCAAGGACGACATCCTGGTCCTGACGGTGCGGGTGGCGGTCATCGTGGCGGTCATCCTCACGGTGCCGGTGCTGTTCTTCACGGTGAGTGAAGCCTCCGTGTCATCTGAGGAACGCGGAGGTCTCACCTTCCCTTCTGTCTCGGGAGCCCGTTGTTCCAGACAAAGCCGTCGCAGGTAGCTTTCCTGTGTCACTGAAACTGCCTCGGGGAAGGAGCCCAAGACTCCGTGAAGATTCTGCGGGAAGAAAGTGGGATCCGTGATGTGGGGTGGACTCTAGTGGAAGGAATCTTAATTCTAATTGATCTGTCCCTCATTTTTTTTTTTTTAATAATAGAGAAATGTAGATAGAATGGTTGAATCTCGATCATACGCAATCAGAGAATGTAGGAGGACCAGGAGAGAACCCTGAGCCACGGAGAAAACAAGAACAGAAGTTATTCCCCCTGAGAGAAAACAATCTATTGTCAGGCCGGCGTGGCTCAGTGGTTGAGCATTGACTCATGAACCCAGAAGGTCACTGTTCAATTCCTGGTCAGGGCATCTGCCCGGGTTGCGGGCTTGATCTCCAGTAGGGGGTGTGCAGGAGTCCACCAATCAGAGATTCTCATCACTGATGTTTCTCTCTCTTTCCCTCTCCCTTCCTCTCTCTGTAAAACCAATAAAAAACGTATTCTGAAAAGGAAAATCTATAATAATAAAATGCGTCATATGCTAATTAGACCAGACGACCTTCAGGATGAAGCCAGGGCAGCGAGGGAAGCCTGGGTCCCGAGTGCCAGAGGGAAGCTGGCATCGGCCGCAGTGGGGGGGGGGGGGGGGGGGCTACTCTTGCTCGAATTTTGTGCATCAGGCCTCTAGTCTACTTATAAACAAAAAACACGTTTCCACCTTCAATCAAGCCCCCTGCTTCCCAGACTGTTATGCTCTCAATAAATTACAGAACATTTCACAAAGCCCTGTGCACCGATATGTCAGTTGCTGCTGAGGGCGTGAGTTTGGCAAGCTGCATGCAGGCCCTTACGGAGTCTTCGTCTTCTTTTCCCGCAGGTTCGCTCGTCTTTATTTGAACTGGCTAAGAAAACAAAGTTTAATCTGTGTCGTCACGTCTTCGTGACCATCATACTCTTGGTCATTATCAACTTGTTGGTGATCTTCATCCCCTCCATGAAGGATATCTTCGGGGTTGTAGGTATGGCTTTAGGACTCCACACTTACTCTGCAGCAGCGAGTGAAGAAGCTGGCATTTCACAGTAGCAACTTCAAACTTTTTTCTTTCTTATTTTACAGGAGTTACATCTGCTAATATGCTTATTTTCATTCTTCCTTCATCTCTTTATTTAAAAATCACAAACCAGGATGAGGATAAAGGAACTCAGAGAATTTGGGTAAGTCTTATTGCCAGCCACCCCAATTTTTCTGATCAGTTTTTTTGTTTTTGTTTGTTTAAATATGCCAAATAAATAGTCCATCTCTGCCATCGAAGACTGCCTTTAGCAGCCTCAAAGGGAGGCAGCAGTTGTGTGGTTCTCCCCTTTGGGAGATTTAAAATACCTCATCAGAATCCTCTCTACTTCCTCCCAATACCGGTGCAGGTATTAAACTCTTGCTGTGCCTTTGCGTTTGCTCTGAGCAGGGGCAGGGCCAGCTGGGAGGCTGGCTGTTTGTCGCCCTGTCTCTTTGAGGGGGTGCTCTACCTTTAGCTCAGGGAGCATGTGATGCTTACTCTAAACCGCTGAGTTAGCGCAAAGAGTCTTTATGATTTGACAGAAATGCTTTGGAGCCACAGACCTGGAATCAGGAACTGCCTTTCTATATCGGGATTCTTGTTTCCAGGTCTGGTGAAGTTCAAGGGCATCTTCAAGGTGGTGCACTTGGAGACAGTGAGGGAGCAGGGTGAAGTGGCTGCTGCCTGGGTACCTTCTGGAGCACCATTTTGTTTGGCTTCTCCGCTGCCCTCCCAGATAGTGTAAGACTCCAATCGCACCTATCGCCCGAGTCCACAGACCCGGTTAGGAGGCGGAGGCAGGAGGGATCATCCTTGTGCGCTGATGCATCTTCTGCCCCCTCAGGATGACCCCTGAAGCCGCAAATCCCATGCCCTTCTAGTCCTTACCAGTAGTTGCTTCACTAGGTCAGAGAGGAAGGAGCCGTCACGCTGGCACAGCAGTAAAATAGATGAAGATCTGAAAATGGTAGAGGCCTGTTGCCCAGGAATGCTCTGGGCTCCCCCCAACCCAGCTCCCATGATAAAATGGCAGTAGGAACTACTGAATAGCGTTAGGCAAGGGCTCCTGTCCATCTGAGGACCCACTGGGAGTTAGACCAGCCCCGTGGTGGTGAGCCCAGGTGCATCCCTCTGAACCCCACCCCCACTCCCCTCCTGCCCTCAGCCCTTCCTCCAGGCTCCAGGGCAGCCCCGTGGCTCTCATGATGCTCCCTCCCTCTCCCCGTGGAACTCTCGTTGGGTAGTCTCAAGGCCACACAATTTATAATCTGTCTTCTCCAGATTCTGTACTTAATGACCTGTCTGCCCCCTTGAAGTAATTTAGATGTTTTCTTTTTTACCTTCAGTATTAGTTTGTATTAGTTTCACATGTACAGCGTAGTGGTTAGACACTCACATACTTTACAAAGTGCCGCGCCCTCCCCCCCCCCCCCCCCCCCCCGATATTTTCAGTACTCACTCGGCCCCCTACATAATTATTACTGAAGTCACTTAGTTTTTGACACTGTTTCCTAAATCACTTGATCAAATTTACTTTGCTTTTATATCTTTCTCCACGTTTCAAACAGAAATGTTTGCCTACCAGCGATAACTTAGGTTGGTTGATAGAGATGAAAGGACCTGTATGTTTTCCAAAGCCATTTTTTTTTTTTAAAGTCGTAATCTTAGTCGGAAAGAAACTGTCGAGGAACAAGCATGTCAGAGAATCTTTCTCTACTGCCCTCTCACCCACACAGCGCAGAGGTGCCAAGCCTCTCCCATTTGAACTTTGTAAAAGTTCAAAACCGAATCGCAGAGCAAGTGCATCCAGTTCATGAAAACAGAACGTCGAGGAGGCTCTGTGTAGTTCTTACTTTCCCGTCCTTGGGAAATTAGATTCACACGCAGTTTCAGAAAGATCCTCACAGTCCCACCGTGGTTGTCACAGACTCCAAATACACGGGTGCTCAGAGGAGAGAGGAAGCATGGATGCTTCTTTCCGAGGTGCGTGTGGGAAATGTGTGCTTCGCTGGAATAACCCGTGCCTCTCTGTTGCTGCAGGCGGCCCTCTTCCTGGGCCTGGGGGTGTTGTTCTCCCTGGTCAGCATCCCCCTGGTCATCTACGACTGGGCCTGCTCGTCGGGGAGCGACGAAGGCCACTGAGACCGGCTGGGAGCCAGCAGCCTTCCCGCCTGCTGCTCAGTCAAGTCACCAACCACACATCAGCAACCCTCGTCCCTCCCTTTGCAAGTTTACAGAAGCAAACAGAAATTTACAGGATACTTCAAATGGAATCCCACTTTGGTCGCAAAACAGAAACCTGTTTCTATTACTGGTTCGTGTCCCTCTGAGATCTAGGATCAATCTAAGGATCATGGATTTTTTCCCCCCTTCACATGTCATGGAATCAGATTTCCTAATAGTTTCCACAGTCAGTTACTTTCCCACTCTCCTAACTCGGTGTTTTGTGACTTCATGGTCTCTTAGAACTTTGAAAACATGATCACCAATCATGTTTATTTATGATAGATCAGATTCTGAAGTAATTTTCCTACTGATGTTCAGCTCACACTATCTGTATCTTTTTAGAAGAGAAAATAATCTTGAATTGTATATATTTATTTTGCTTTACAGAAAAAAAAAAAAGGTTTCGTAAATAATTTGCCTATTTTGGTTAACATAGCACACGGGGGTCATCGTAGTCGGGGAGTCGCAGGTGCCTGCGTTGCCCAGGATTGGAGGTGGCTCTGATCGCCCGCAGGCAGACCAGTGGTCTCCCCGGGACTGCGTCCATTTCATACAAAGATAAGGTGACCAGACGTCCCGCTTTTGGCGGGACAGTCCCAATTTTTAACAATTTGTGCTGGGGCGTTTTAAAAAAGTCCCGATTTCCAAAAAATCGGGACTTTTTAAAAAAATGCCGCGGGACATGGGACAAATGGTTAAAAATCGGGACGTCTGGTCACCTTAATCAAAGACATTCCCTGGTGCAGTGTCCTGTCAGCTGGAAAGGGGTGGAAATGATTCTTACCTTGGTAAACACATTAAGCTACACAGGTGGGGAATCTAGCAAATTACGTTTTGTTTCCCTCTTGGCAACTTGTGTCAAAGTTACTCTGACCTGAGTCCATTTCTTCTGGGGGAGTCTCATAACATCTTTGTCATAAATGGAGGAGCAAGAATGCCGCTTACTCCTCCATTTATGACAAAGGTGTTATTAGGTGTTAAAATGCCTAAGAGAAGATTCCTCCGAGGCATAGAGGAATGAAGATAGATAGCCTTCAACCCTACACCGGGTTGTTGAAGGGAGAAACGTTTTCTGGCTAGTAAATGATAACCCCCAGCAGCTTTTTGCACAGGGAAGAAGTTGTATCTAACTGAGAATGATCTAAGTAATTCCTGTTTTATATTGGGTACTTTAGGGGGAGGGAGGGTGTCTTTAAAAGACTTGTTTTATACCTATAAATTTAGGTTATTATAAATACAAGATTTTTGTATCTTAAATAAGCCTCATTCCTATTTCTTCTCCATTAACAGTCCATCCATAGTGTTAGAAAAAGAAAGAGAACCTCAGAGATAGTCTTTGAGGAGAACTTGGGACAAAAATCACGGAGTACCTTCCTTTCCCCCAGAAGGACCTCGGTATCCGTGCTGTTCCTCCTCGCCTCTAGCTAAGGCTGGGCCGTTCCGGCCTGCCCCACGTACCCCACCCAGGGCAGAGCTGCCCACACTCTTACCCCAGCCCCTCTTCTAAAGGGGGCGGGAGGAAGGAAAGGAGAGCATTTGGGACAGGTAGTTGGAAAGGAATGAAGGCCAGAACCCAGAACTGGGCCATCCCTTGTGGTTGGCTTGTCCATGTCACAGTAAGAAATGTGTGTGCTCCATGAGCTGGTCTCTTGGCAAAGGCCTTGTGTTTTCATCTAGATTCTGGTTGAATTTCTCAAACACAGAAGGTCACCGAGCACAGATTTCTTATCCTGTGATAAGTAGACTCTAGCCACAGACTCTTGGCAAGGCTTCCAGGCACTGAGCTCTGGCTTCTGTTCCTCTCTCATTCACATTCCCAGAAGCCTCCACACTCCCTGGGAGCTCCCTGGAATGGTACACACACACACACACACACACACACACACACACACACACACACACACACCTCTGTCCCATGGCAGAGGCACCATGTTCCAATCCTCTTTGGGAGAAGGGAGGGGTCATCATAGCTTTAATCACATTCACATTAGGTCAGAGTGCAGGCACTTAGACACAAATACCTAACCCAGTAATGTGGAAGATTCTGATGAAAAGAATGTCTTAAGTAAGGTGACCAGACGTCCCGCTTTTGGCATCCCGATTTCTAACAATTTGTCCTGCGTCCCATTTAAGAAAATCGGGACTTTTTAAAAATGCTGTGGGACCTGGGACAAATTGTTAAAAATCGAGATGTCTGGTCACCTTAGTCTTAGGTGAGCAGGGAGAGAAACTGAGTACAACAAGTCAAGTCAGTTGGCCCTTGGAGGCTTGTCTAGAGCACCAAGTAATAAAATACCAGATAGTGAAATGGCCCTCCACTGAAACACAACAACAACAATAATACTTCCATTTCCAGCCATATTTTTCTACTTCCTATTTTCCTCATTAAGATACAATTCATCTTACACTCCCAAAGTCAGTTTAGAAAATTATCATTAACTCTTGAGGGGGAAAGGATGTGTAATGCTATTTTTGGATCTCCGGATTTTATGGGTCAGTCAAGGAATAATTATTATTTAAAAGATATTTATTTAGAGGAGGCACATTCATGTAGATGTCTAGGATACCACAGGTTTTAAAAATACTCCTTGTATGTTTATCTAAGTTTGCTGTTGACTGAATACAATAGGCCCTACTGTAGTTTGTCAAATACCATGGGTTATGTCATTTGTGTGGGATTAGCTATACAGTATACTACTCTTAATCTTGTTCAGAATAGTGAACTGGTAGCCAAAAATACACATTTCACAGATGTTAGGTAGAATTTGAACAACACAGTCAAGTGCTATAGACGTTTTTCTGCTCAGTTAGACTGAAGAATAGTACAGCTTAAGCCACTGGGAGCAGCATGTTTTCCTTTGGTAGCCAGATCTCAGGACTAGCGAGCAGTGCCAGTTTCATACTTTGGATTGAGAACTGTTCTCTGGTTATTACGATACAGATTGATGTAAATCCCTGACTTCCTTAGTGCTACTCAATGGACGTGGGGGTAGTAACGTGTGCATAGGAAAGAAATCTAGTCTTGTTAAGCAGAGGCAGTCCCCAATTTACAAGCTGATCATACTGGGAGACTTTCAGATGATTATTTGCAACCTGGAATGTATTTCCTGTTATACATGGTGGTTAGGCCCCCCAGACCAACTAAAAAAAATGATTAAACACATAGTTCAGCTGAAATTGGGTAATACAACAAGGTTGTTAAAGAACCTAACCACTACACATACATGGTTTCTAGGGTATTTGTTCAGTGTTGCCAAGAATATGTCATTCCTGTTATTAGTGGACTCTGGGTTGCCCACCGCAGCGACACGCACCTGCTGGATGATGGGTGGAGGGTAAGGTGACCAGACGTCCCGCTTTGGGCAGGACAGTCCCAATTTTTAACAATTTGCCCCTCATCCTGTGGCATTTTCAAACAGTCCCGATTTTTGGAAAGAATCGGGACTTTTTTTTTTAATATATTTTTTTATTGATTTTTTTTTTTTTCTTTACAGAGAGGAAGAGAGAGAGATAAAGAGCTAGAAACATCGATGAGAGAGAATCATCGATCAGCTGCCTCTTGCACACCCCCTACTGGGGATGTGCCCGCAACCAAGGTACATGCCCTTGACCGGAATCGAACCCGGGACCTTTCAGTCCACAGGCTGACGCTCTATCCACTGAGCCAAACCGGTTTCAGCAGAATCGGGACTTTTTTAAAATGCCGCGGGATGCGGGACAAATTGTTAGAAATCGGGACTGTCCCGCCAAAAGCGGGAAGATCTGGTCACCTTAGTGTAGGGGCACCCCCATCTGGAGGTGACCAGAGTGGCCTGAAGCAGGGTCTCCAGCAGAAGAGGGGGAGAGTAAGCCCGGAGCCACCAGAGAACCCAGTGTAGGCAGAGTGAGGAGGAGGATGAGGGGCCTCTTGTGAGTTGTAACCCACAGGGACCTTCCTCAGCTGATACCTTCCTTTCTCTGGAGGTCACAGGTTTGGCCTGTCTGCTTCTGATATAGGACCTTGTGCTCCTATAGTTCATCTCCTTTCCTGCTCACTGCACACACACAGGATGTTGCTGCATAGCCTCTCCCACATGCCAGTCATTGGAGCCTGCATACAGCTCTTGTAATGGGTTCCATGCTAGCGAATCGCAGGTTCGCTGCCCGGCCATCAGCTGGGAGTGGAAAAGCTTTCTGCCGCTTTCCCTTTTCTATATTTGAATGTTCTGTTGAGAAAGGCGAGCCTGGGTGATGTAATGGTTATGGCTTGAGGTGGACAGAGGCCTGTCGTAGGATTCCCTGGTATTTCAGAGGACACCACAGGCAGTTACCCCAGAACGGGAGTTGGACTCGAGCCTCTAGGCTAGTGGTTCTCAAAGTGTGGCCTCCAGAGCAGCCGCACTTGGAACTTGTTGGAATGCAAACTCTCAGGCCCTTCCCCAGGCCCAGTGAAACCGGAAGCTGGGGGGTTGGAGGAGCCGAGAAGCCCTCCTGGGGATCAGTGTAGCACTGAGCCAGTCTGTCTCCCCTTTGTTCTCGCATTAGTCCTACCCAGAGGATGGTTCAGAGGACTCCTGGGGCAAGAAATGGGAAGCAGGACTTGGGGGCAGGGACAGGCCTCAGCCCCAGCCTCCTCCCCTCCCACCTGCACGGCTGCTGCAGGTGCTCTGTTGTATGGCAGCTGCTTGCACGCTTGTAAGACTTAGGGCTGAGGCATAATAAGGCCACATTTTTTAGAGCTGTGAAAAGTGAGGAGTTCCTGTGTGTGTGTTTGTTCGTTTTTAGGGGAATTGAAAGCAATTCCCCTTGTAAACGCAGTCTTAGAGGAATTTCTGAGTGCACGTCAAGAGTAAGTTCTGCAGAATGTTGGGTCATTGGGTGGTGGCCAGTCCTGTCCTCTTGGTAAAGTGAATTCCTTGCCGAAAGGCCTGCACTGA